TCATTTGACTCTATTTTCTTGAGGGAGGCTGATCCGAGATTTTTCGAATTGCTCCCATGCCTCCCACTTCAGTTTTCTTTACTTTTCCTTTTCCTTTTGGCCTTCCCGTTTGTCACCACTAGTGCAACACCACTAGTACTTGCACTAGTGGTGCTAATATTCTTGGCCGTCAAGATGTCGATCTTGACGGTGCACCTTGCATTTATTATTTTTTCCTCACGTGGTGCCGCCGTTTCTTCTTGGGACTTTCACATGTCCCCGCCACTTGTCCCGTTGGTGGTCCCCGACACTTAGTCCCGCCGGTGGTCCCCGACACTTAGTCCCATTGGCGGTTCCCGACACTTAGTCCCGTCGGCGGTCCCCGACACATTTCGCCCCGGACGCCATTATTTTTACTTAGTCCCACGTGGCCCCGGGTGCCTTTCTCCGAGGTGTCCCACGCCCCTTGGGCGTCTTGTCGCCCCATAGCGACCTCTCTCCTTAGTCTTTCCTTGCGCCTTATGCGTGCCGATCTCTTTGGTCGCGGGCCTCCGCTCCGAGGCTCTCATAGGTGACCCCCACATTGGACCCTCATTTTCTGGCTTCCCACGGCTTCTGGCCGCCCATTCCTCAACTTCCTCATTCCCTAGCTTCCCACGGCTTCTGGCCGCCCATTCCTCAACTTCCTCATTCCCTTATTGCTGTCGCGCTACAATTGCTAGTTCAAAGGGCCCTTTGGCCTTAGTCTTATTGCATTTCGATGGCCCTCCCGGCCTCCTGCTATGTTCTATGTGCCCCTGTTCTTGCGCTCGCTTGCTTGCCGCCGCTAGTTCTTTCCTCCTGTGGTTCTCTCCTCAGGGCATCACTCCCTTCTGCGGCCTAATCCTTTGTCTTTTCTCTCTCCTACTTCCTCACTCCAGATTTCTCTGTTGTGCACAAGTTGTCCGTATTCAATCTCTCGAGTGATGGGAAGTTATTCGTGACCCACCAGTCCCGACACATTCCCCCCACTCATTCGCGATGTCCTCATCGCGCACCAATTTCTTGTTAGCGGATTTTGGAGGGATAGACGGGAGAGGAGGGTGCGGTGTTATGGGTGGTTAGTTTTCCAGGGTCCGTTTTGTTCTTTTGTCATTCCTTTCTCAATGTCTTCCTTAGCTTCCGCCCCTTGGGGCGGAGGAGGGTATGGGGGAGTCAAAGGTTTTACAACTTAGACCAGGTTGCTTATTTCTGTCATAGCTCTGCCTCTTTATCTTTCTCTCAATTGAGATGCAAACTTCCTCTTAAGTTAACTCTGTATACCCAGCAGGGCAGCCCATAATCCTTTCAACTTTAGTAACATGAAGCAGACGGGACTCTCCTTGCGTCATGTACTTAACTACTGGTATGCTGGCTTTATTCCCAGGGTGACAATTTGTTGTCATAACACAATTGGTTTTCTCATTCTATGCGTTGACTTTGTTGATTACAAATTGTAAGCAAGTTTTTGGATGCGACTCAATATCAGGCATTCGCTCCGGAAGGGAGATGTTCGTCAAGTACAACCGTTGTCTTTGCTGTGGTGATACCCGCTTCGAATCGGTGAGCCCAGACACAACTCCCCTTAAGTGCTTTGTAATCTCAAATCTGTCTTCCCATTTCATCGAGGAAACATTCTCGAGCAGAAACTATTTTGGTCTCGCCTCATTCATTACTCTTATAAAAAATAATCTACTTTTCGACCCGTGTAATCAATGTTTTCCTTTTACCGTTCCCCGACGCTCAGGCCTTGCCAAATTCACATGCATCTCCCCTGGGTCCTTTCGCCCGACTCTCCTCAGGTCCTGCCAATTTTGCATACATATCACTCTTTGTCCTTTCTTGTTTCTTGCTTATTTTTAACTTTTTCATGCATGCTGCCCAGTTCATCCCTTGTGCATCTCTCTTTCAGACACCTTGTCAGACCTTTTTTCAAATACTCATATGTTTCCTAGCCTGCCAGTCTTTCTCTCAGATCCATACATAGTCCATCATACGAGTCTTTTCTTTTCCAGACATCTTACTCGGCCCATTTTCAAGCTTATGCCAAATAAATCACACAAGTCGCTTGCCGGACTTTTTCTCAAGCTCATGCAACGTCAATTTCTCACCCATTTCTCTTCCGGACATCTTGCCAGGACTTATCTCAAGCCTGCGCAAAGTCAATTACTCGTCCATTCTTCACCTCTGGACATCTTGCCAGGCCTTTTCTCAAACTCATGCAACGTTAATTACTCATTCATTCTTTTCTTCTGGACATCTTGCCAGACTTTTTCTCAAGCCTGCGCAAAGTCGATTAATCATCCATTTTTTTCTTCTGGACATCTTGCCAGACCTTTTGTCAAGCATGCGCAAAGTCGATTACTCATTCATTCTTACGCTCATGGTACCCTTCTCTTTTACACGCTTTTTCTTTGGTAGATAGCACACCTTCCCCCCACTCAAAATGCGATGTCCCCATCGCACGACTGGTTCTCACTCGGAGGTACACAACCTTTGACCCACCAACGAGTAGGCGGATGCCGGCCCATCAGCCCCAAAAAGGAAGGGTGATCAGTCCTCCCCCTGCTGATAACTCACTTCATCCCCTTACTCCGTCCGACCTTTTGCTGCTTACGAGACGGGCGCCATTACTGAGGTACCTCCTCACATCTGGAAGGCAGGTCCAGTCCAAGCCTCCCAGGACCCAGTCTTGCCGCAAGGGCTTCCTCGCGAATCGTTCCTCCCGAGTGGTAATTTTCTGGATCCGGTCTCTTTCTTTCAAGAGAGTTGGGGCTCTCAATTAGTCCACGAGTGCAGTTACGAAGACCTCGCAGTTAGTCCCGAAGCGGTTGTAATGCTCCGGCGGGGCGGTGTCACTCGCCCCGTGGTGGTTGCGGTTTCCATCCGGTACCACGCCCGATTCCTCCCTCTGGACAGTGCTGCTCAACTTAACGCGAGCCGCCGTGGTCCATTCCAAGCGGTCATGCCGCCCCTCAACGACATGGTGTGTGGTTGGGGAGAACAAAAGAGACTAGAAAAAAAAAAATGGCTCTCTCGCCCATTTGGTTCCCTCACCCTTTGACGTTTAGGCGTTCAACACGAGGCGCAACTTGAACTTCCCGACTAGAGCTCTTTGTCGGGTTCAGTTCCAGACGTCCCGCACCGATCCAAGTGGTAGGTGCCTTGGTCCTTTAACCCTCATCCCCTTACAAGAGGAACAGGTCGCGCTGAGACTTTTTCCCTTACAGGAATAGAGGTTTTGGGGTCTCGGTGCGAGCACCGGTATCCCCCTCCTGCAGAGGCCAAAGACTAGAAAAAGAGAAAATTCATTTCAATACTATTTCCAAGTCCATTTCAAGTTGCCTAGGGTCCCCTGCCTATGCAATGCAATATTCAATCCTCAATCATTAAATCCAATGCTATTTCCAAGGCTGATTCTCATGACTGGTCTGACAACCTCTTATCAACAAGGCCATTCCCATGGCCGGTCTGGCGGTCATTCTCTCAATAGCCATTTTCAAGACTAACTCTTCCGCCCACTCAATCCTCAATTTTCTCATTCCTCAACACCCAATCTCTGTGACCGTCCCAACGGTCCCTGCCCCTCTTGGCTTTAAGGCCCCGCCTCTTTTATTCACATCTTTCCCCTGCCCCCTTGGCAATTTTCARCGGCCGACCCACCGGCCTTTTCCATTTCCCCCATTCAACTCATTGGCTATTTCAAMGACCGACCCACYGGCCTTTTCCATCTCTCTCATTCCATTGGCTATTTCAATGACCGACCCACCGGCCTTTTYCATCTCTTATTGCTCATTCTAGCTCATCCTCAATCAACCTTTCTCAATCAAATATGCAAGGGACCCCACTGCCTATTTCAAAAGGAATGACCCTTGTGAGGGGTCATTCCCGAACAACCTGGTTAGGGTCGTTCTTTTCCATTCTCACATCGAACAGCCTGGTTAGGGTCATTCCTTTCCATTCTCAAGTTGAACAGCCTGGTTAGGGCCATTCCTTTTCATTCTCAAGTCGAGAGCGTACTTCAATTTACTCTCTTCAAGTTTTTTTTTTATTGTAGTTTTTTTATTCAACATTGACTATTAGAAAATTGAATCTTTCAATGATTGTTTTCAATTGAATAAATTAATAAGCATGTTGCCATTCATAAAACTTAGGCGTTATATAGTYTTTACGCATAGGCCAACCAAGCCAACTTTCAGTTAGTGCCCGAGGGGGTGGGCCTCGAGGTTACGGATCCCATTTCTGTCTTGGAGGTTAGAAGGTGGTCATCTCATATTTTGTGTGCTATTCTCTTTCTTCCATTTCTCACAGTAATGTACCATCCATTCCATTTTTCATAGTAATGTACCATCCATTCCATTCCTCACAGTAATGTACCATCCATTCCATTTCTCACAGTAATGTACCATCCATTCCATTCCTCACAGTAATGT